ACACGGCCTGAGGCGGTACCATTACGCGGGCCTTGAAGTGTTGTTATGAGTTAGTCGCAGTGAGCCTGAGGCGGTACTATTACGCGGGCCACTGGCGAGGCAAGTGTGAGATGGTCGCAGTGAACCTGAGGCGGTACCATTACGCGGGTCACTGGCGAGTGGTGTGGAAAAGATGTGATGAGATCGGAATGAATGCATGAAACGTAATTAGAACATGCATGTGAGTGGAATGGTGCTATTGTGACTAACGTGCAGGTTGCACGCTGGAAAGGTCCAGGTATGTATTGATTGTGTGCCTGCGGTATGATAGCTGAGTGTGATTATTGTCGTTATTGTCTGGAGGTACGTGATAGCCTAGGTGGGGTTTAGGGTGTGTGCTTGCTGAGATGTATTCTCATGGTTATTTCAACCAAATATTTCAGAACCCCGGCCTGAGCAATGAATCCTCCGCCGCCACCGCCGCCCGAGCATTTTGGAGTACTGGTGCACACCGATCACAACGTTGTAGAGTTTCCTATAGATGATAATATGACCTGGATTAAGCATACGACAGTAGTTTGGGTAGACGTAGGGTTACCCCTCTGGCAAGCCAATACCTATACCGCTTGGTTCTTTCGGGACGAGGTAGATGAGTTTGATCCCGTCCGTGAATTTGACGTCCCCTTTGATGGAGTTGGGGACTGGGACTCGTCTGCTATACCTCCTCCTGATGGCGAGTTGACTAGTGTGGAGACTAGTCTGGCGCAGTCTGGATTGCAACAAGCGCCTGCAGCACCTGAGCCCTCGGAGGCCGAGCATGAGCCAGAACCTGATGAATCGCAGGCGGGGTACGATCCAATGGACGTGGACCTCTAGGCAATTCCAGAGGAAGAACCGGAGGCGAAACCTGAGGAGCCTGAGGCTGAGCCTGAAGGAGAACCGGAGTATATACCTCCGTATGAGCAGTGGATTGACCCCGAATTTGTACCAGAGTACGGGTCTGATGAGGAGTCCGACTCTGAGGAGCGAAACGAGATTCCAGCGGAGTCGGGTGATATAAACCACCCGATTGAGATTGAGGCCAAGCCGGAGACTTCGGAGGAGACTTCGGAGGAGCAGACTATTCAGGGGAACTCAGATTCAGACGACGAAAAATCAGATTCAGAGTGGACGCCAAGCAGAGGGCGTAGAGGCTAGGTTTAGGGGTTGATAATAGGCTTTTTGAGGAGTTCCATTTTTTGTGAAAGAATACCCAAGTCATCGATCGTTTTGAATATCGGTGGTTTATAGTACGGTATGCATATGTATATGGTGGTTTGTAAACTGTGAATATTATATGAGTTTAAATGAGAAATGAATATGTGCATCCTCCCTATTTACCCCAGTTTTAATTGTCCGGGTATTGATTGTTTCCGCTGATCGTTTTAAATCTCTGATAAGTCAATTTGGGTCGGCGATACCCTGAGACATCGCATTAATCGACCAGAGAAGTGTGTCGCGTGCTCGATGAGGTTCGGGGCGTGACACGAGACATTTCCGCGCGAGTTTTTTCCTTTCTCTTTTCTTTTCCCTCTCCTTCTCTCTTTTCTTCTTTTCCTCTCTTTCCTTTCTGTTTCTCAGTCCCGTGAGTTCCCGGTTAAAAAGAGCTTAAATGCCCCTTTTTTCTTTTCTCTTTTATTTCTCTTCCATGACTTTTCCACTCTTCTTTTCTTTTCTTTTCTTTTTTTTTTATCAAAAAGTCCAAATATTAACGCAGACTGCATAGGAATGTAATAGATCATTGAGAAATTTATCAAAATCTCTCCAGCCATTACTTTTGACAACAAAAGCATAAAAATGCCTAAAGTGAGTTTCTAAGGAATTAGGATAATCTAGATTTCATGTGCCGTGCTTTCTTTGATCTTGGTCTGAAGATATCAAAGCTAATTACCCAATTCAAGGACTGCTGTAGTCCCAAGATCAACATTATGCCTTTGAAAGTTTTGTCAAAATCACATTAATTGATGATTACAAAAATATATCGGATTGTATTTTCGTGATGTTATATAAAAATCAATTCCAATCTCAAACTGTCATCGAATTCTTAGATGGTTGATAGACTAGGATATAATATTCTTGAACCCCAATTTACAAAGGTCAAATAGAATTTACCCATCTACAACATTTCTGAGATCCCAGCCTGATAAATTTCCCACTTGTGTGAGAGCCGCCTTCCACTGAGCAACTTTGTCCTTCTCTGCCTTGAATGGCTCTTCGTGATTAGCAAATGCCTCTGCAAAGCTGCCTGTCTGTTTTTGCACATCCGATGGATCGATGTCATAGAACACGGGAAGAACCAACTGCCCCAGCTCCTGCCTGCACTCCATTATCTTCACGAGCTCCTCGAGACACCATCTTGAATGAGCATAGTTCCTCGAGAAAACAATCACTGATATCCTTGACCCTTGTTTGGCTTTCCAAGTTCAGATGAAATTACTTTTCCTCTGGGAAGCGCATCGTCGTCTCTGAAAGCGTCGACTCCGGCGTCTTTAAGGGCATGATAAAGGTGATCAGTGAAGTTTCTCCTGGTGTCTTCTCCTCTAAAGCTCAAGAACACATCGTGCATCCACAGATGAGAATTGGAGAGACCGGAAGATGAACCTTCCATCGACTAAAAGAAGAAATTGCAGATTGCTCTCAAGTCGAGTAAGAAGACACTGAAGATGTAGAATGTGTGCATCGGACAAGATGATCACTAGGCAAAGAGATGAAATTCATATCCAAACCCGGCCGGCTCTCAGTGTTTTGTTTTTATAGCACAAAGTCCTAGGAAATAACTATGCTTTGAGTTTCTTCTTAATGACGGATCATCCACAACTATTAGCAAAATAGATAGTAATTTAATGGAAACTTCTCTACCTGTTTCTTACTTGACGAGACTTTGTTGCACATTGTGTCCTCTTGTTTAGAATATAATATTGTGATCTGTGACCTGTTTTGCCTTTTGGACAGAAAAAGAGCAGCACAAATGAACTAAAGAAAATATGTTCACCTGAAGAGAGCGATCAAATAAAATTACAGAACTCGCAGTCGATAAAAAAACAACCTTTCAGTAGAATATTCATGACAAAGTATTCTTTCCATTACAGGTCGGGATGCAAAATCATTGAACCGATAACAAGATCTCTTCACTTCTTTCAATGTCTAAACTACTTGTTTACCGTTTCTTGGTTAATTTGCTGCTCCTATGCGAAGTTGTCGGGGTCGTGAGGATCACATTATAAGTTCTTGTCCAAGGATGAGAAGTAACTGTTCATCATAGCATGTGAAAATCATCCATTGTCCGACAAAACAGCATTTTTTCCTCGTTCACTAAACTTTGTCGAAACATTTCGAGTTTTGCATAAGAGTTCCATTTTCTTGTCATCTCAAATGGATTTGAAACTTTTCAACCAAAAAAGTTGGACTTGAAGCTATTTGTCGCTGAGATTGCCCTCGGAAGATGCTTCAGGTCATTGTTTACAGATGGATGAAGAATCCCATGAACCTGAAATCAAAGTCATCAACTGTAACAGAATATTCATGTACTTCTGCGATGGCCTCTCCACTTTCTCAGTTACTATTGCTGCCTTGATCTTTCTTAGTGGTAACTTCACCTAAATTTAAGTACAACGTTGAAATTGACCAAAGCTGTTGACAAGCATCTGACAATAGAGAAAACAATCGCTGATCCTGGACCTTGTATGGCTTTCACATGCTCATATGAAATTTCTCCTCCTTTTGGGAGCGCACCGTCGTCTCTGAAAGTGTTGACTCTGGGATCTTTAAGGGCATGATAAAGGTGGTCGGTGAAGTTTCTTCGAGTGTCTTTGCCTCTAAAACTCAAGAACACATTGTTCATCCACGTGCAAGAAGTGACGAGATCTAAAGATGAACCTTCCATGGCTAAAAACAGGAATGTCAGATTGCTCTTAGGTAAAGAAGACCTTGTAGGATGTTTGAACTGGAGAAGACTATTAGGCAAAGAGGTGAAACTCTAAGGCAAGGTCGTTTTCAACCCCGACTGGCTAGCAGCTTTTTATTATTATTAATAGCTTCCATGTCTCAGGAATGTGAATATGGTTTTTCCTTTATTCTCACCCATGGATTAGAAGAACTATTAGCGAAATAGAAATTTAATGGAAACTTCTCAACCTGTTTGTTACCCATGAAGAGATTCTGTTGCACCATGTATCCTCTCTTTAGAATGTAGACTTCATTTTGATCCCTGCTCTGGTGTAGCCTTTTGGAAGGAAAAAGAGCATCCCATATCATATGAACTAATAGTAAAGAAACTATTTTTACTTGCAGAGACCGATGAAATACTAATGCAGAACTCGCGCTCAATAAAGATGAAACCTTCGAGTAGAATATTGATGACAAAGTTTTCTTCCATGACAGGTTGGAAGAGGCAAAGTCAACTTCAAAGCTCAAACGCTCACACCCTTGTATGGATATGAAGACATTTTGTTGAAAAACTGAATTCTTTTATAGGAGAGAGATCGTGCTCTGGTGTGATACCAAATGAATTGATTAGAGAACAGAGATAAACGCCTGTTCTCTTCACATCTTTCGCTGTATGGATTATTTATTTACCATTTCTTGGTTAATTTGCCGGCTATATACGATGATGGGGTTTCTGTTAGAATAATTAAATATTAAATCATGCATTCATCTAACAACTTAAGCTTTTAGAACAGTTGGTAGTTATCCCACCAAATCTCACATGATATTAGAGCTAAAGGTCTGGAGTTCAAATCTTTTCATGCCCCATTTACCTCCCCAATTAAATATATCCACGCTTAATACTAGACAAAAAGACTAGACTAAGCTGTTAGAATAGTTAGTCGTGCATTGTCTACTAAAACAGTATTTTTCTCATTCACAAAACTTCTTACAACGTCTCAAGTCATATCGAGTTTCTCATAGAAGTTCTCTTCTTCTGTCATCTCAAATGGATTTGCAATATCTCAAACTCTAAAAATGACTGGACTAGAAGCCATCTATTCCTGATGAATCACCCTCCGAAGATGCTTTAGTGCGTTCTGATAATTGAAGAATCCTGTGAACCAGAAATCGCGGTCATCCATTGTAACAATGTTTATGTATTTCTGTGCCGGCCTGTCCACATTCTCAGCTTCGTTCACCGCCTTAATCTTTCTTATCGGTACCTTCAACTGAAAATAAGTATAACATTAAGATGGACCAAACTTTTGACAAGCACATGACAACAGAGAATGGCGAACTGGTATTAACCGAAAGACAGTCGACTTTTGCAGCTTGTATAAATTTACCTCGTAATGGATTTTGGTTAATCCCCCACCTGGAGAAACCACTTCTACAGATCTCTCGCTCCAAATTGCAACTTTTTCAGTGGAGATAAAGAGGAGGCCCACTGCAATAGGACTGGTTGAACTTGACCAATAACATTCGAAAGATTCCATTAATTTTTCTCCATCTTCCCAACTGAACAATTCCCGGAAAACTTTCTCAATGCCACCAAGCTGAAGAGCTCTTGCCCCGAAACTCAATTTCCCCCTCACCGTCACTGTGATTCCGGGACTCAATCTCACTGCAGTTCCAGAAAAACGAAGCGACAACTGTTTTAGCATATCTTAGAGAACTACTTTTAACTGAGGGAATTGTACTCTGTACTTGTTCTCTCCTTTCCTCTTTCCTTTGCACGGATTAATGGCCCAAGTTAATATGCATGACCGCAACATCATGTATGCATCTCTTCAGTGACAACAAATGACAGAAATCTTACCCTTTTCGTGATTTATCTCTTAGAAGCAAATGATCTAGCCCATTTCAAGCAGTCCATGATAGAACCATTGAGGATTGCCAGATCAATCGATGATTCAAATAACTCAAAGTGATCCTAGCAAATTGGAACCACAGTATGGCGCACCCTAATATCAAAGGGATTTGAATAAACTCACTTGTACATTGCATAGTTGATTGAGCCCATATCAATGCAGGAAATTTGTTGGGATTTTGGCATCCAAATTCCATAGAATTGAATGAGAAGTGTGTGGATAAAAGTGTCCCACATAGGATAGAAGAGGTGATGGAAGATGGTTTATTTTGAGGAGCCTCTCAAATGGGTTTGGGCCCCAAGGGGTACCCCACTTTTGTGGAAGGGAGAGGACCTACATCAAGCTAGGTCGGTCCATCCGTCCAGCTCAATTCCAAGTCCATTCTCTATCAGTTTTTTATTTTTTCCGAACATACACGTTTTGTTAGAAATTAATTATTTATTTATTTTTTGGACAAACAAACATGTCTGTTCGTGAGGTTCGGTTCGCCCGAACGAAAACCGCTTCGGTTCGAGTGAGCCTTCGCGACTGTTCACGAACCGAACCGGTTCAAGTGAGCCTTCGCTACTGTTCACGAACCGAACGGGAACCGCAAGCGAGTCTTCATTACTCGCGACTCTTCATTTTCGCCATTTATATAACCAAACAGTTTAGTTCGGTCTGGTGACACTTAGTGGCATATTTATTCCAGCAAGACATTTTCCCGACGCACTCTAGACATTTTCATTTTTTGTCATTCTTCATCATTGTCATTTTATGCGACTATTCTGCGAAGTTGCGTTCGAAGGTTTCCTTTGAAGAAGTACCGCTTCATAGGAAAGACGATCCGTTCTATCCTGAGAGGCAATTGTTCAACAACCTTTGGGTACCGGTAGAGGGGACAAATTGTCTTAAGGACATAACGTCAATTCGTTGGGCTTGGATCAATTGTCAAATTCGGATCACTCATTTCAAGTTTGTCGAACAACTAACTCTATTTTTGCATATACAAGCACTATTACGCAACAACAATCTTAAGACAATTTCTATCGTGTTTGTATAATTGCATTTCTCAATCATTTCTGTCAATGTGATTTCAGAAATGGCTACAACATCAATGACACCTATTGCGTCTGTTCCGACTCATGGAGAGAAGCCAGAAAAGTTCAATGGGGCTGACTTCAAGAGATGGCAACAGAAGATGTTGTTCTATCTCACCACTTTGAACTTGGCAAAGTTCCTCATGGAGGATGCTCCGAAGTTGGACGAAGGAGAGACAAACAAGGAAAAGTTTGCTGCTGTAGATGCATGGAAGCATTCTGACTTCTTGTGTCGCAACTATATCCTCAATGGTCTGGACAATTCCCTCTACAATGTTTATAGTCCGCTGAAAATGGCTAAGGAGTTGTGGGAAAGTTTGGACAAGAAATACAAAACGGAAGATTTAGGTTGAAAAAATTCATCGTCGGCAAATTTCTGGACTTCAAGATGATAGATTCTAAAACCGTCTTAAGTCAAGTTCAAGAACTTCAAGTGATCATGCATGACATTCATGCTGAAGGTATGATGATTAGTGAATCATTTCAAGTGGCTGCTTTCATTGAAAAGTTACCACCGTCTTGGAAAGATTTCAAGAATTATCTCAAACACAAGAGAAAGGAATTATCACTTGAAGACCTAATTGTCCGATTGAGGATAGAGGAAGACAATAGGAATTTCGAGAAGAAAGTTTGCAGCAATCTGGCGGTCTCAAGGGTCAACGTTGTTGAAGAAGGATCAAAAACCAACAAGAAGAGGAAACACTATGGACAGGGATCCACCCAAGGCCTGAAAAAATTCATTGGCAAATGCTACAATTGTGGAAAGTCTGGACATCGTGCCAAAGACTGTAGAGCCAAGAAAAGAAAGATGACTCAGGTTAATATGGTGGAACAGATTTTCAATGGTGTTGATGATATCAATCTTACTGCTATGATATCCGAGTGCAACATGCTGGGAAACCCCAAAGAATGGTGGATTGATACTGGAGCAACTCGTCATACATGCGCCAATAAATCTATGTTCTCATCATACACGCCCATGGAAGGTGATGAAAAACTCTACATGGGTAATTCATCAACCTCTAAGGTTGAAGGTGTTGGAAAGGTTGCTTTGAAGATGACATCTGGGAAAGTTGTGACATTAAACAATGTGCTACATGTGTCAGACATACGCAAGAATTTAGTGTTCGGATCTCTTCTTAGCAAGAATGGTTTCAAGTTGGTGTTTGTATCTGATAAGTTTGTACTCTCCAAAAATGAGATGTATGTAGGAAAGGGATACCTTAGTGATGGTCTATTCAAGTTGAATGTAATGACTGTTGTACCTAATGATGTTATGAATAAAGTTGTTTCTGCTTATGTGCTTGAGTTTCCTAATTTATGGCATGCTAGACTAGGACATGTTAATTATAAGTCAATAAAGAAATTAATGAACATGGGACTATTGCCAAAATTCAATTGTCCAAATGAAAAATGCCAAGTATGTGTTGAATCAAAATTTTCTAAGCCTCCTTTTCATTCTATAGATAATAGAATCACAGAACCTTTAGATTTAATACACACAGACATTTGTGATTTAAAAGCAATATCGTCAAGAGGTGGTAAGAAGTATTTTATAACGTTTATAGATGACTGCTCGAGGTATTGCTATGTTTATTTGCTTAGTAGCAAATATGAGGCTGTGAATGCTTTTAGAACTTATAAGTCCGAAGTTGAAACTCAATTAAATAAGAAAATTAAGATGATAAGAAGTGACAGAGGAGGTGAATATGAATTTCCTTTTGAAGAAATTTGTTCTGAGTTTGGTATTATTCACCAAATTACTCCTCTTTATGCGCCACAAGCTAATGGAGTGGCGGAAAGGAAAAACCGGTCTTTAAAGGAAACAATGAATGTATTGTTGAATAGTTCCGGTTTACCACAGAATTTGTGGAGGGAAATTGTTTTGACGGCGAATTTTATTTTGAATAGAGTACCCCACAGAAAGACACAACAAACTCCCTATGAGAAGTGGAAAGGCAGAACGCCTAATTTGAAATATCTCAAAGTGTGGGGGTGCCTAGTTAAGGTTGCGATTCCTAAACCTAAAAAGGTAAAATAGGACCGAAAACCGTTGATTGTGTCTTTATTGGATATGCTATTAATAGTAATGCATATTGATTTATTGTTCATAAGTCTGAGGTCCTCGATATACATGTTAATACGATCATTGAGTCAAGAGACGCTTCGTTCTTTGAAAATATATTTCCGTATAATATAGTATATGAGCCAATTAATAATGATAAGAGACCTCGGGATACTACACCTAAAAGCGATCCTATAGAGGATGAACCTAGACGTAGTAAAAGACAAAGAACTTCTAAGTCCTTTGGAAATGATTTTATAACATATTTGTTAGAGAATGAGCATCGGACCTTTAAAGAGGCTATGACATCCCCAGAAGCCCCGTTCTGGAAAGAAGCTATCAATAGTGAAGTTGAATCCATCTTGTCAAACCATACATGGGAATTAGTTGACCTTCCTCCTGGTAATAAACCACTACAATGTAAGTGGATTTTCAAGAGGAAAATAAAAGCGGATGGTACTATTGATAAGTACAAAGCTAAGCTTGTGGTAAAAGGATATAAGCAACGAGAAGGCCTTGATTATTTTGACACTTATTCACCTGTTACTAGAATTACATCTATAAGGATGCTAATTGCTATAGCAGCGGTATATAGGCTTGAAATCCATCAAATGGATGTTAAAACGGCTTTCTTAAACAGGGATTTGGAAGAAGAAATATATTTGGAACAACCCGAAGGGTTCATTGTTCCAGGACAAGAGAAGAAAGTATGTCAGCTTATCAAGTCCCTCTATGGTTGAAACAAGCATCAAAACAATGGCATGCTAAATTCGACCAAGTCATATTGGCAAATGGTTTTAAGATTAATGAGTGTGATAAATGTATATATGTTAAGAACACTTATAATGGTTTTGCTATTTTGTGCTTGTATGTAGATGACATGCTTATAATGGTTAGCGATAGTGCGGTTGTCAATACGACCAAACGAATGCTCACAAGTAAATTTGATATGAAAGATATGGGGGTTGCAAATGTTATTTTAGGAATTAAAATCCACAAGACATCTGGAGGATTAGCTCTATCACCATCCCATTATATTGAGACGATTCTTGGAAAGTGCAAGAATCTAGACATTGTACCAGTAAAGACTCCGATAGATGTTAATTTACATCTTTCAAAGAATACTGATGAAAGCAAAGCTCAAAATGAGTATGCTAGTATACTAGGCAACTTGATGTATGTCATGAATTGTACTAGGCCAGACATTGCTTGTGCTGTGAGCAAGCTAAGTCAATTTACAGTTAGTCCAAATGAAAATCATTGGAAAGCTATGAAACGTGTATTGGGCTATCTGAAGCATACTCAAAATTATGCTTTACACTACACAGAGTATCCAGAGGTACTTGAAGGATACTGTGATGCAAATTGGATAACCGGCATAAGGGACACAAAATCCACAAGTGGGTATGTGTTTATACTTGGTGGGGGAGCTATGTCTTGGAAATCATCCAAACAAACTTGTATTGCAAGGTCTACCATGGAAGCAGAATTCATTGCTTTGGATAAGGCCGGTGAAGAAGCTGAGTGGCTTCGAAATTTCCTAGAAGACATTCATAATTGGTCTAAACCAATGCCAGCTGTGTGTATTCATTGTGATAGTCAAGCGGCACTAGGGAGGGCAAGGAATGTCATGTATAACGGAAAGTCCCGACATATACGTCGAAGACACGATACTATAAGACAACTACTCTCTAGTGAAATTATCACGATTGACTATGTGAAGTCAAAAGATAATGTTGCGAATCCATTAACAAAAGGCCTAACTAGAGAGTTGGTTGTAAAAACATCAAGGGGAATGGGTTTAAGGCCTATAAAATAAGTCATCATAGCGGAAACCCTTCCTAGTTGATTGGAGATCCCAAGATCTAGGTTCAAAGGGACAACCAAGTTATGCAGGCGGAGTAGTGTACTGTCAACTCTTACTCATTCCCATATGGAGACGGTACTAACATGTGGAGGTTAAGTGTAAGCTTTTAATGATTCTGATTCGGGTACGTAATATACCACACAATCAGAAATCACCTATGTGAGTGTGAAGTGAAGGCCACTTCTATGAAGAATTTGAAAGGCCAAATTCTTCAAAGCACTCATGAAACCAGGCGGTGTTCATGGCCAAAATGAACACAACAATGAGAACCAACTTTGTTTGAGAGATAATTGTGTAATTTCTATTATCTTGACTTACACCGAAGGTCGACAGTTCAAAGACATCAAGTCTACTGATTGACCGAGTAAGTCCGATAGGTCTCACTAGGGAAAGTTCAAAGCCTCAGACTACTTATCCCAATGCAACGTTCTGTCGTGGAATAATCGCACATTGCATCTCATGCATACACGAAGAGTCATGATATCTGAACTTGTCATTCATGTGAAGGATTGTTGGGATTTTGGCATCCAAATCCCATAGAATTGAATGAGAAGTGTGTGGATGAAAGTGTCCCACATAAGATAGAAGAGGAGATGAGAAATGGTTTATTTTGAAGAGCCTCTCAAATGGGTTTGGGCCCCAAAGGGTACCCCACTTTTGTGGAAGGGAGAGGACCTACGCCAAGCTAGGTCGGTCCGTCCGTCCGGCCGGCTCGGTTCCGGGTCCATTCTCTATCGGTTTTTCATTTTTTCCGAACAGACACGTTTTGTTAGAAATTAATTATTTATTTATTTTTTGGACAAACAAACATGTCTGTTCGTGAGGTTCGGTTCGCCCGAACGAAAACCGCTTCGGTTCGAGTGAGCCTTCGCGACTGTTCACGAACCGAACCGGTTCAAGTGAGCCTTCGCTACTGTTCACGAACCGAACGGGAACCGCAAGCGAGTCTTCATTACTCGCGACTCTTCATTTTCGCCATTTATATAACGAACAGTTTAGTTCGGTCTGGTGACACTTAGTGGCATATTTATTCCGGCAAGACATTTTCCCGACGCACTCTAGACATTTTCATTTTTTTCTCATTCTTCATTATTGTCATTTTGTGCGATTATTCTGCAAAGTTGCGTTCAAAGGTTTCCTTTGAAGAAGTACCGCTTCATAGGAAAAGCGATCCGTTCTATCCTGGGAGGCAATTGTGGGACAAATTGTCTTAAGGACACAACGTCAATTCGTTGGGCTCGGATCAATCGTCAAATTCGGATCACTCATTTCAGGTTTGTCGAACAACTTTACTTTATTTTGCTCATACAAACACACGTATATGTACAACAAAATTTATATGACGGTTTTCTTGTTTTTCATTACACCTACTGAATCTCAGTGAATGCAATAACACTCTGAACAGACAGAAGAAATCATCTTACCATGCTCTCGGAAACCATGTGCAATTACATCTGCATTCTTCCCAAGCATATTAATCTTGTCACGCACAAACTTCACTTTATCTGTTATGTCAAAAACATCCAGGTTAGAAAAACTTCTCTAGTTTATGTATAGATGCCAAAATGAAACAAATGAAAAGAAAAAAGAGAAGTCAGTCTAATGAGATGAACAACTTCCTACTTTGTATCGAACTTTGCGATTCATCAACTGGGGAAGTTGTTTGATGATGTCGTCCAGAATGCTCGGATGATGTTGCCTCCGGGAACATTGCCGAAGTTCCTATCTCGGGATCCTGCAGTTGGCTTTCCTTCTGCCTTGTCTTCTGCAAAGAAAAGTGGAAGCTTTTTAGAAGGGTTCGGGTGCGAGGAAATTGTGCTTACTCAGTGTGATGAACGATAGAGTTTATCTAGATCTTTAGTAAGAGTTTACACCTTTGATCGACTTTTGGACCGTCGATCAAAGGCATGCCAGTCACTATCTTTTTCTGGACAAATAATTTTAGTCCACGAAAATTTAGATGACTGAATCGAAGATGTCACAGCCACTTGCTATCTTTTGTCATCGCTTGAAAACTCAACAGAGTATTCGTATGAAGGGAAAGAGGGAACATCTGGTTCTTTGTCATTTGCACCATCATGATCAACTTATTGTTTACACCTCTGATAGTGCAAACTCCATTTTCAACGTTAACTTTATGGCCTTTTTCTGAAAGTTGCCTAACACTTAGCAAATTCCAGAAAAGTACAAAGTAAACGTTTGCAATAGTAACATTAGTACCATTTTTTGATTTGATATCAATGTTACCTTTGCCCAAAACGGGAATTTTTTATTTATTCCCGAAGTTGACTTCACCACGAACTGTCTCGTCTAGCTGGGAGAATAGCTCCTTTCGACCACATATGTGATTACTGCACCCAATATGGAGATACCAGATATTTGTGTCCATGGTACTCGAGTCATCCGTTTTGCATGCTAACACCACGTTTTCATTAGCATCGACAACATATACACATTCTGGTTGCTCGTGCCCCATGTTTACTCGGCATTCGGATTTGTAATGTCCGAATCTGTTACTCTTAAAACACTTGACCTTTGATTTGTCACGTGTTTTATACCTTCCCGTGGAATTCGAATATCCACCTCTACCTCGGGCACTATGATGGCCTCCTTGATTTGAGTGAGCGACCCAACTCTGCAATGCTTGCTCGAGATTCGAATCGATGGACTTCTGATTCATTATTTGCTCATGCGAGCATAGTGAACACATCAACTACTCCAACGTCATGGTTGATATATCTTGGCCTTCTTTGATTGCAGCAACAACGTAGTCAAATCTTTCGATTAAAGACCTTAAGATTTTTTCTACAACTCGAACATTTGGGAGTTCTTCACCATTAACCTTCAGTTGGTTAACGATGTTTTGCACACGATCAAAGTACGATGAGATAAATTCATAGTCATTCATGCGTAAAGACTCAAAATCTTCTCGAAGTGCTTGGAGCCGCACCCGCCTAACACGATCATCGCCTTTGTAGGATTTTTGCAAAATATCCCACGCTGCTTTCGCAGTTTCAGCGATCGATATTTTTCAAATATCGTCTCCTCCACGGCTTGAAAGATCGCATACAATACTTTCTGATCTTTCTTTCGGGATTCCACCAACGAATCTTTCTCCTCCTTTTTCAAAGCATCGAATGCTTCAGCATTAGCTACTTCGATGTAGCCATTCTCCACCAGGTTCCACAAATCTTACGATTTGAAAAGAACCTTCATCTGGACAGACCAATTGTAGAAATTCCTTCCGTTCAACTTTGGAAGTTGCAATTGAACGGAACTGGTGGATGCCATTGCTAGCTCTAATACCAATTGTTGGAAACAAAAGGATATAGAAACTTTGAAAATTTTGATGAGGAGAGAAGCCAAATACACAAAGGAGAGATAATAATACTCAAAATGCCTTGCGTAAGCTTACAACTTGTAGAACAAACGCACACACTAAGAGTCCCCCTCTTACAAGGTTTTCTCTACAAGCTTAACTCTCTCACTCTCTATCTACTACGACTCTACCAGGTAAACATATATATAAAAGACTCCACCGCCAAGTGAAGTCAGCACAAATTGTTCCAGCTAATGCAATCTGTCCTCTTTGCCATTAATGTTGGAATCGGTGGAGAGAAGCAGGAGCTCCACGTGTGGCTTCTTGAAGTCTTCAAGATACCAGCTGGATGTCTTCTTGTCAAACTTCAATACCTCTCCTCCTTGTGGAAATACAACCAACTTCAACACTGAAGCAATTCCCATGTTCTAATTTTTTTAGAATTGTGCCAAAAACAATTTTAATATTTCCAACAGCTTGATCCCGTTGAACAAACCTGACCCGAGTTGAATTATGTATACGCTCAGCACATGAAAGTTTCAAACCAATGTTGCAGATTACGTTTATGCAATGTCCTGTTGCACAGAAGTTGGTTTGAAACTGCCGGCGGTTTGATATGTCCTTGTCGCAGTTCTTGGCCGGAAATTAGAAAGTCCAACATGAATTTTAAATAGGAAAAGTCGTCCACGATTTGGTCTGAAACTGCCGGCGGTTTGATGTGTCCTTGTCGGAGTTCTTGGCCCGAAATTAGAAAGTCCAACATGAATTTTAAATAGAAAAAGCCCACCGCGATTCGGTCACCTCGGGTTTCAGTTCGCGGTGTCCTTGACTCAGTCAACTCGGTGACTCGAGCTCTACTGAGTGAACTCTCCAACCGGAAAAAAAAAAAAAAAAACCAATGTTTTTATCGGATCATGCAAGCCGGCGGCCCCAGTCTACTGGATTGTCAACACATCGTTCATCTGTGAGCAAACGGAATTCAAAAACTTTATAGGTCCGTTTGTTTCGCGAAAAATACTTTTTAAGAAAATACTTTTTTTCATTTTTTGGCGTTTGATTTGCTAAGGAAAATTAATCAACGAAAAATGTTTCCTTACCGAAGCTTAAATTCAGGAAAATGATTTTTGAAAAGAACCGGAAAACATTTTTCAAATAATGACTAGTTATCGGTACTTGGACCCAAAACTCTATGCTTAGGCACAAAAACTCCAACGTTGGTTTCCGAGTCCCAACATTCAAGATTTGGTCTTAGCGGCCGGGCTTGAGACCTCGGTATCTAGAGCCCGGGCCTCAGCACCCATGGCCGGGTCCATCGAGGCTAAGCCTGAACCCCTGATGCCCATACCCAATGCTCCAGCATCCAACTCGGGTCCATAAAGGCCGTGCTTGGATCCCCGATGCTCAAGCTCTAGTCCCGACCCTCCGGCCCGAATCCACGAAGGCCATGTGCAGTTTCTTAGCGCTTGGGCTCGGTGGTGCTTGGGCTCGGGTCCTTAGTTAATGAAACGTTTGTTCTTATAAAAACAACTTATTTAAAAATTCGAATTTTTATTTATTTATTATTTATTTTTGTAAAAAATAAATTTTTATTATTTTTAAAAAAAATCGAATTATTTATTTTTTTTCTTTTCTTTTCTTTTTTCTTTCTTTTTCTTTTCTTTTCTTTTCTTCCTTTTTCTTTTCCATCTTCCACGGCGGGTCGCCGGCGAGCTCACAGCCTCTGGCGGCTCCGTTCATTTGACGGGAAATGTAACATTTCTGGAAAATATTTTCTGAAAAGTCATTTTCCAAGAAAATGATAATATTTTTCAATGTTCAACTGAAACTTAAAAATGAATTAGAAAATAATTCCCGTCGTTCGATATGGAAAATCTGATTTTATTTTTCCTTCTTGCAATCGTTTTAATAAATTTTTATTTTATTTTTAAAATATATATATAATTTTTTAATTATTTTATTTTTGAATTTTTTATATTTTATATTTCTTTTCTTTTTTTTCCTTCCTTTTGATTATTTTATTTCTTTCTCTGCCGGTCGCCGGCCATGGCGACGACCAGCGATCGACCACAAGCCAACCTCGCCGGCCTTGGGCGAGGCAAGGCTCGAGCTCGCCGGCCTTGGGCGACAAGGCCGAGCCTCGCTCGTGGCCCATCACCATGGCCGGTGACCGGTTGAGGAAGAAATAAAAAAAAAAATTCAAACCAAGCCCACTTAACCCAAAATTATGCCACACATTTACCTAAACTTTTTTTGGCATCCATGTAAGTAGATTTTTAACGGTTCCATTGATAACACATATATAAGTTTGAAATTTTTAGTATCACAGAAAAAAGTTTGAATTAGGGTTTTTTGTGGCTTTTGCTCATAATTTTCACTCCTAATTTACAAACCAAAAAAAATTTTCAACAAAACGAAACATTATGAAATGGAAAACTGTAACCAGACTGCAAGTAAATTAAAAACTAAAATGCATTGTCGAAAATCTACTTTGCGATGTCAACCCTCGAGTCGAGGGCCTCGACTCGGATTCAAAGGAATTTCAACGAACTCAGGGCCCATATTTTAAAAGAACATTTTTTTATCAGGACCGCAACTTATAGAGAAAAAACAAAATAAAAATTATAATAAATTTGCGAAAATTCACATATATACATACATTTTGGAATTTCCCCTATAAAATAATCAGTCATCAAAATAGGAAAAAAAATTATATTAGATATGTTCGACCTGCCTATGTTAGCCCACTCCACGTCAACTATTCAAATACGCGAATACGAGCTACCGTAACCGATATATACGATTCGAACCGAAATCTTTGACTCGGGATCCGGTCACGAACCGGAACCGGAACCCGACCCGAAAAACACATGTTCGAATCGAAGCAGGGGGCACTCGCGCACGCGAATCAGAAAGAGACTCGCGAACGGGAAAGAGGGCCTCCTCTCGGTTCTCCCCCTCCGATCGCCGATCCGCCGCCGTCGCCGCCCACGCCGCCCACGCCGCCGCCGCCTGTGAGTTCCTCTCCCTCTCTCTCTCTCTCTCTCTCCTGAATCTTCTGTTGAAGCTTCTTCGCCGGAGATCATCTCCTCGCGCGGTCTCAACGTCCCTGTTTGATCCGTGACGCAGCGGTGTTTTTCCGACCACCGATTCTCCCGGCCTCGCGTCGCGGGCGGGCGGGCTTTTCGATCGATCGATCGCCGGCGAGACCGGGCGATTCGTGCGTCTGGTGAGTTCGGAATCCGATCGCGTTTCTATGTTTAGCGATCTGTTGGTGGGGCGGCGGTGTTGAATCGTCGTCGTGCTCGCGCGCGCATCGCGAAGGTCGGAGCGTGCCCGAGCGCTTCTGTTTTCGACGGTATACGAAGAAGAACCGAGGGAGGAAGGAAGGGAGGAGGAGGAAGGAGGCATGTGAGGAAAGGATGAGGAACGAGATAGGGAAGCCGCTGATCGTGTTGGTGTGCGGGAGCTTGGTGTACTACCACTGCGCCTACCGGAATTCGAGCCTCGTGTCGCTCCTCTCCGACGTCCTCATCGTGCTCCTCTGCTCCCTGGCCATCCTCGGCCTCCTTTTCCGCCAGCTCAACATCTCGTAATTCTCTCTGATCTCTTTTCTTTGGCTTTCCGTTTCCGTTTCCATTTCCGTTTCCCCTCTTGTGGCTTTTCCATTGTTTTTGTTGGGAAAAGAAAAGGATTGAATTTTGGGTGGTGTCGAAAAGGGTGCCGGTGGACCCGCTGGAGTGGCAGATATCGCAGGACACGGCCAGCAGCATCGTCGCTTGCCTCGCCAACACCGTCGGAGCCACCGAGTCTGTCCTTAGGGTTGCCGCCACCGGCCACGACAAGCGCTTGTTCGTTAAGGTCACATTCGGTTGCTTTCTGTTGTAGATTCGACGAATTATTCGCTCTCTTGTCGTGATGGACCTAAGCTAGTGTGTGCATAATTCTCATTTTCAGGTGATTGTTTGCCTTTACATTCTGTCCGCTTTGGGGAGATTGCTCTCTGGCGTCACCGTTGCTTATGTTGGTATGCTCGCTTTCTCATCAATCTGCTTCGCCTTCAGCCTGTTTCCCATGAATCGTTTGAGGAGTGGAGTAGATTTTAGTCCTCTCACTATTATATGGCCTTACCCCTGGCACGAGGGAGAAAACATGATCATATGGCAGCCAGCATATCGAAGAATTGTTCTTACAAAATTTACTTAGTCTCTTTTTCCCTCTCGTAGATATAGCTCTTTGATGGCCTTATTTCGTTGTTTTCTTTCCCTGGTGCTGTTTTACTTGATCCTTAAAGCTTGCCTTCTGTGATGTCCTGTCAAATGAACATCAATATACCGTCTTCGTTGTTGGACTGTAGCTGCATTAGGGCGTTCTCCTTACACAGGACATCCTCTTGCACAAGGCTCCTGCAATTTAAGTATTACATGTGTGGGGGAGGTCAGAAATTAACCTTGCAATGAAAGAGGTTCTTCTCATGACTCAATGCATGAAGCCTTTTCCCCTTACGGTCCTTACCTAACCCGCCAAAGACTTACGCAGAAATGACCATAGATTTTACCCGCAGTGGATAATTCCTGTATACTTGTCAATAATTTCGGTTTTCAGTGGAAACCTCAGACTGCCACATGTTTTCTCAGCGTCATAAGCTGAGCTGTAGCAAAAGTTTCCCTAAAACATAACAAAAGTTGAAAGTGTCCAAAAGTCGATATTGGATTTTTGAGGAGCGGTTATTTTAGCACAATGGACGTTATCGACTATGTTGTTGTTAGAACGTGCTCTCTAGAGGAAAAGTTCGAGAACTATTTTACAGATATACCTTCTTCTTCCCTCTTCGCTCTCATCAGTATGATGTACTTATCAATATTTTTGGTTTTTAATGATGAAAGTTTACTGCCCTTTGGGACAAATGTTTGCTAATGACAATTATAAGGTTATGATGGTAACAAAAGTTGATGATGAAATCTTATTGGTAGTAATTGTAGCACAATAGACACCATTGGTTGTGCCGGTGTTAGAAAATGCTTCATGAAGGAGAAGTTAGAGAACGCTTTTCTTGGTACACTTTCTTCCTATTTTCCACTCACAATTGTTGTGTAGCTGCACTTTGCGCTGGGCCACATGATCGCTTCTTTGAATATTTATCAATACTCTCTGTCAATTTTTCGAACAGTGTCGAAGCTGTGATTGATTGGGACTCTCTTATTTTGTATGTTTGAGACAGGATTATGCTTGTTCTGTCTTTACATGTTCGCCGAGTGCTCGCCCTCAATCAGCACGTGCATTGCCCGATTCTTGAGGAGAAGTGGTGCTGCTGAGCAGGATAACACGTAGCCATTAAACCATCTTGACCTATATCCAATTCTTATTATACCCACTTCTTGGACCCTTAGTTTGTGACCGTACATATGTGACTGTTTTTCCCCCCCTTTTGGGGTGAGTGAATAAATGTTTTCGGCTACACACAGGAAACTTTGAGGTGCAATTTTATGTTTGGTCATGAGTGCAACCGATCGATGTTATTTTGAGGAGAAGTTGTCAGTCTTTAACTAGCTTTCTCTCTCTCTCTCTCTCTCTCTCTCTGAAATTTATGTTCTTCACATTCATGTTGAGAAACGAAATCAATGCCCCCAGATATAGTACCCCCTGTTGGGGAGTTCATTACATGGCTGCGTCAATCCTGTTTCTATATTTCATCATACAGCTAAGAAGCTATATAAGTACCCGGTCCTATCATATCATCTTCTGTAACACATGAATTTGGAAGTGCATAGTCCATTTACTTCGTTATTGTAAAATCCCTTTCACCGGATACATCATGGACCATGTTTAAAAAATGGAAAATAAGGACATATTAATGAAATTGATGCATCTGAGCAATTCTATGATTTCAGTATGCTATTTTCAAACATTTTCACTCTAAGCGCTATCTGCTTTCTAGCGAATTCTATATCAAACGAGAGATGCATCATAGCCACGACATCTATATATTTCCCATGTTTGCCTCCTTAAAGGTGAAATCCACCATAGTACATTGAATATCCCAAGGCAAAAGCAAGCAGATCATAATTTAAAATGCATTGCCATGAAGTCGCTCTCTGTAATGCTAATCGCTACAACCCAAACACTTCTTTACAAATGACACCGCTGAAAAGAACTTTGATGAACTACTTCTAGCACCATAGTGTGGATCTAAACAAACGAACAACAGTACGCTTTGATGCCCTGAAATGCCACATCTTCGCCATGCCACTATAGATTGATGTTATTCCTCCCACTACGATTTATTTGAAAGCAACAGAAATAATAGTTGTCTTCGCACTAAACCATCCTATTATCAGATTCACTGCAAGCATTCCATCATCCAACAGGAGCGAAAGCAGAGAATAGCTTCGCCATTCCGATATTGTACAACCTAAGCTGCTTCACCTGTGTGCCGATGCATGTGGCATCGGATAAGTCATGGGGCCCATATTGATTGGCGCACCAGGAACCACAGTGCCTTGTACTTGACCTCTAACACCATATGCCATGTGCGGCGCGGGAGAGAGATTTACTGGAGTACCAACAGCAGAAACAAAAGGGCCACCCACCGGTTGTCCAATTGATGGAGAACCTGAAACTGCAACACCTGACGTCACAGCTGGAGGTTGAGGAGATTGTTTGTTAGATTTGCCAGAAGATACTCCTCCCGTGGAGCCATCTGTTTGATTTTGACCCGTAATAGGGCCTTGACTTGCTGAAAGGTCTCCACTGCCCACGGTGGTGATATCATGAATGCTAGATCGCCTCCTATCTTTGTTAACCGAGTTCAGTCGGATAAAATACTTTTGTGCATGGCTTGCAACTTGTGTAGGCGTCCTGGTGACGACAAAGTTCCGGGAAATACTTCGCCAATCGCCTTTCCCATATTTGTCTAGGCCTAGAAGAAATAACCTGCTTCCAAAATGATACTGATATGAAAACCCAAGGTTGAAATGTATGGGTCAAAAGAGGCATAGCATAGCATCAAACCATAACAATGTATTCGAAACAGTAACATCACCATATATTCAATCATCAGACAAATAGTTAAGATCAGCCTGCAACAAAATTGAAACTGGGGAGGCAACAGCTATAAGTTGCAGTAAACTTTTTTATATGTCTAGCCTATCAAGGGCTTGAAACAATGAGCACGCATGTAAGATGCAAACTTTTCAGTAAGAAGCTTACAATTAGATCTAGAAACTTTTAAATTACGGGTGGGTTTCACCACATACATCATAGATTGCAACTTTCCGTTTAAAGCCTATAAACAAAACAAGCTAAATTTAGTTATGGAGTCTAGTGAGGGGCATGAGCTGACTCTACCCTCTAATTACCTCTTTACGTCCTCCGTAATTGCAGAGAGAGAGAGAGAGAGAGAGAGAGAGAGTTTCCATGATAAAAACTTTAAATCTGGATCATAACATCAACTAATAAAATATTCAAGATTTAAAAAGCTCCCTTAGAAAGGTATTCTCTTCAAGTAGCTTGTTGCCATTAGCCATGCCTACTGGCTACATGGCTGCTGGATAAGAGAAACATGTGATTTTATACATAGATCATCCTACTGAACCCAAACAACAAACCAGCTTAGCAAAAACTTTACAAGAAAAGAACCATCTCGTGCAAGCATCACATATCTAAATCATAATGCTTTCACAAGCCCATCAATCAAGATAACATGTCCAACCATCTCCTCTTGTTGTAACCAACAAAGAAACATTAAGTCACTATAGCAGCTTTAGTTACCACGTCCATAGGAATAACCTACTACACAAAAACGAAATTAACACCATCGGTACGGTAAAGGCTATCATTTGACTTTTTCCTTAATAATGTCAATTCTCAATTCCATTGATAAAGACATCAAGAAGCACAATTCCGAGCAACTCTTGCCTGAAAATGGAGCTCACGTGCCTTCTGAGGGTTACCATCACTTCCCCTTCCATCAGCAGTGGCAGTTTTTACCTCACAGATCATTGCCATTGACCCAACCAAGGTTGGTATTTGGTATTTTATTTATAATTCCACTCGATGATATCAGATGATGTATCAAGTCATGTTCAATTGAAGTAGCAATGCCTAGTTCATTTTAACCTTACAGCCTAATTGAGCATGTGAACCAACCACCACATCACCAAGCCTTATTCCACCAATGGGGAGGGGATCTTAATACGTCTTTGCACTCAGAGAACTTCATTGAAACATTCAGCAGTTTGAGTCATGTTACTCGAATAGAACAATTGGCCAGTCTCCATTTAGGACTCAGATTGCCTTTTTTTCTTTAACAAAAAATTGCAACAGATGAAAAAATGCTCAATTGCCGCAATATTACTTTAGCAGCTCTATCACAAACGTAATGTCAAAAGAATGAAAGCTAGACCTCATTAAGTGGGTTTGAATCCAGCTTGCCAATGTCTAACCATCAAATGATTGAAGATTTAGATAGGCAGGATGGATAGACAAAGCTCCGGGTGTGCAAACTTCTAATAAATATGACTAGATTAATGGGTTGGACAGTCAATGAATACAAAAAGGAAAAAATAAGCATCTAGTCACTCCTCACCAAAATTGAGTTCAAGTTGTAATTCTTATGTCTTGAGCTAGCTGGAACATTAGGAATTACCTTTCTATTTACCAAGTACCAACCTCTTCAAGAGAGAGAGATACCAATTGAAGCAAAATTCATACAAAGGAAGAGAATGCAGGGCATCAAAGCAACTCAAGAGTACACCTCAATGTTCACGCTCAAGGACCCAGCGAGCAATAAGGCATTGTACTCCGCAGGGGCCTGCTAAGCTTTCTTGTGTGATATAAGCACTAACTGGCAATTAAAAGGGGGCTAAACTGCACATTACTAAACTCAACCCAACAGATATGCCAGTAAATAGAAATGAAGCTAGATCAGAAATCGGCAACTAATCTGCAAGTCACTCAAGTCCCCAAAATACAGATCAACCAAACAAAAGGAAGGGCAGCAAAAGCAAATCACAGTGTCGCATATCTGCTCGCGACCAATTAACTATTGCGCACACGTACCCTCTTTCCTGAAATCACATTTCAGACAAAATTTTACTGATTGACTAGAAAAAGACCCCACCTGTGTTCTTCCTCCGTCCAAGCAATCCCCTTCCTTCTCTCCTGATCAGACTTCGAACCTTTCCCTCCCTGGTTCGACTCGCCGTTTGCCGAACCGCCCCCCTTCTTCCCACTGTCCTCCTCCCCTAAGTTACTCGCGGAGCCATCCGAGGAGGAGCACGAATTGTAGGAAGGCAGGGGCACGCGACCAGACTCTATCCCATCGACATCCTCGACCAGAAGCTTGTAGTGAAGCTTAATCTCCTCTAGGGTTTTGCCGGGCACGTCGGACGCCACCTTCTCCCACCAATCCGAGGAGTCCTCGAAGTGGGTGGCCAGGGCATTCTCGAACGCCTTGTCCTGTTCCCTACTCCACGAGGAACCACTAGGGCTCACCGCTTCATCGGCAGTCATCAAAGCAAAAACCCCGGCTCAAAAAGCCCACACCTTTGCAACTCCGAACAACTCCGCAGCTCGGCAGCGCCACAAACGAAACCCAAGAACAGATCCACGGGAAGCTCTCGAACCCAAATTTGATTCCCCCAATACCAGCTCCTGGCAGCGCACTTATCCTGAAAACCTCCTCGGGATTCGAATCCGCTAATGCCCAAATTATCGCTGCGGCCGCAAGTTGCAGTGGCGCCGCGAAACCACGAGCAGGAAGGAGGAAGAAGAAGAAGAAGCCGACAAGGCGAGCGCGGACGAAAAGACTGGTTTTTTACTCTTCTTTCGGCAAGAATAAAGAAACCCAAATAGGGAGGGGAGAGGAATTTCGGAATTCCCGCTGAATCTGCAGGAATCGTATGGGGATTCGCTCCGAAATTTGGGAAATTGGACGCCTGCGCGAGTCGATTAAAGAGAAAAGCTCCTTCCTTTCTTTCCTTTTTCGCCCCCTTCTTTTCTCTCGTTGGGCTGTGGCTGTGGCTGTGGCTGTGGCTGACCTATGGACGAATTGAAAAGGCAAAAGCGCAGAAAGAGGAGGAGGAGGAGGAGGAGAAGAGGGTCGGCTTCAGTTGGCGCTGTTCGGCATGGCCCATGGAGCAGAAATATCTCTCGGTGAAGTCCCCTAAATATCCGTGACGCAATAATGGCGAGCGACCTCTTCCACCATCAGTAGAAGGACCCTCCTGTGAAAGAGTTTTGTGTGACTGAGAGAGTGAAAAGATTTTCACACGGACACGGACAGGGAGACACAGAGAGGGTGGGAAAGTCCAAGGATTAACCGACAATGATGGAGGGGAAGATGGCAGAAGAAGACGCTGACGATGAAAACTGAGAGAGAGAGAGAGAGATTGCCTGCAAAACGGATAGAAAAGGGAGGAGGGGGGGGGGGGGGGGCTGCCAACAAAGGAGAAACGCGATGCGACAGCCTGTGAGCATTTATTTCTCTCTTTGCCGCGCGATAAAAAAAAACGAGTTAATACCACGAAAAATTTTAAATTGATACGATTATAATAATTTTATTTCAAATTATTTTTTATCATAAAAAATTTCAAATTAATATATTTGTGATAAATTTACCTCGAACTATTTTTTTGACTATCAAAAACCCCGAACTGATATACTTGTGACAATTTTACACCAACTAAATTTTTAATATTATTTTTTATTTTTTCAAATTTTTTATTTTTTTATTTTTTTTTATTTTTTTTTTCCTTAATCTTCTTCATCTTCAATTTCTGGCCGGTCGCCAGACCGACGACCGGTTAGAGGCGGAAGCCGGCGAGGTCGGCCCCGCCGGCCGTTGGCGAGGCTCGACCTCGCCGGCGGGCCGAGCCCTCGCCGGATCGGCGAAGCTCGAACTCGCCGAGCAACCGGTGAGGTCGGCTCGGCCCTACAACGACGAGGTCGGCCTCGCCCGGCGCCGCCGAGCGGGGCTCGGCCCGCCGGCGAGCCCTCGCTAGCGGCCGGCGAGCCCTCGCTAGCGGCCGGCGAGGTCGAGCCTCTCCAGCGGCCAGTGGGGCCGACCTCACCGGCTTTATTTTTTTAATATTATTTTACACCAACTAAATTTTTAATATTATTTTTTATTTTTTCAAATTTTTTATTTATTTTTTTTTATTTATTTTTTTTTTTCCTTAATCTTCTTCATCTTCAATTTCTGGCCGGTCGCCAGACCGACGACCGGTTAGAGGCGGAAGCCGGCGAGGTCGGCCCCGCCGGCCGTTGGCGAGGCTCGACCTCACCGGCGGGGCCGAGCCCTTGCCGGATCTGGCGAAGCTCGAACTCGCCGACAACTGGTGAGGTCGGCCTGGCCCTACAACGACGAGGTCGGCCTCGCCCAGCGCCAGCGAGGGCTCGGCCCCGCCGGCGAGCCCTCGCTAGCGGCCGGCGAGCCCTCGCTAGCGGCCGGCGAGGTCGAGCCTCTCCAGCGGCCAGTGGGCGGCTTCCACCTTTGGCTGGTCGTCGGTCCGACGATCGGCCAGAAATTGAAGATGAAGAAGATTAGGGAAAAAAAGAAAAGAAAAATAAAACAATATATTCGAAAAAAAAATAATATTAAAAAATTAGTTTGGGTAAAATTGTCACAGGGATAATGACACAAACAGTCCCTGAACTTTGGCTCAATGTGCAATTTAGTCCCTGAACTTTTAATTTATTCAATGTAGTCCTGAATTTTAACCCAATATTCAATGTGGTCCCTGAACTTTCAATTTGTTCAACTTGGTCCCTGAACTTTTAGTAAATGTTCAATTTAGTCCCTGAACTATATGAAAATATACAATATAGTCCATGAACTTGAATTAATGGAAGGACTACATTGAACATTTTTATAAAGTTCAGGGACTATATTGAACATGTACCAAAAGTTCAGGGACCACATTGAACAAATCGAAAGTTCAGGGACCATATTGAACATTGGGTTAAAGTTCAGGGACTACATTGAACAAATTAAAAGTTTAGGGACCAAATTGTACATTGAGTCAAAATTCAGGGACTATTTATGTCATTTTCCCAATTGTCACAAGTATACCAGTTCGGGATTTTTGGTGGTCAAAAAAATAGTTCGGGGTAAATTTGTCACAAGTGTACCAGTTTGGGGTTTTTTGTGGTCAAAAAAATAGTTTTGGGTAAAATTGTCACAACTGTACCAGTTTAGGATTTTTCGTGGTATTAACCCTAAAAAAAAAAAGTTTGAAACTTGAACTACCCAACAGTAGACTTGGTTCACCCATCTCTATTTCGTCGAAAAATCACAATCCTGAATTTTTGCACAACATGTAGTATGATTCATAAACTTTTAATTTATTTAATATAGTTAATAAACTTTAACTCGATGTGTAATATAATTTCTGAACTTTTAATTTATTCAGTATAATTTATGAACTTTTGATACATGTTCAACTAATATTCAATGTCGACAATATTATGCCAAAGTTCAGAACTCAAGGACGCGGGTACAATAGGTACAAAATGATAACCAAAAGCCAAGACCCGGGAGCAGCACGAGTAGCAACTCGTTCAGGCTAGAGGACGCCCAACCCAAGCAAAGTGCCCCGCCTTTCTTGTTATCTCCGGTCCTCGTCATACAATCTTGTTGGGATTTGTCACCAAAATCCCATAGAATTGAATGAGAAGTGTGTGGGTGAAAGTGTCCCACATAGGGTAGAACAGAGATGGGAGATGGGTTCAAATAGTTGAGCCTCACAAATGGGTTTGGGCCCCAAGGGGTACCCCACTTTTGTGGAAGAGAGAGGACCTACGTCAAGCTAGGTCGGTCCACCCCCCGCGCGCCGCCGCCCGTCCGGCCGGCTCGGTTCGGTTCCGGGTCCACTCTCTATCGGTTTTTTATTTTTTATTTTTTCGAACAGACAAGTTGTTTAGAAATTATTTATTTATTTATTTTTTGGACAAACAAACATGTCTGTTCGTGAGGTTCGGTTCGCCCGAACGAAAACCGAAACCCTTTCGCGCGCCTGTTCACGAACCAAACCGGTTCAAGGCTCGGCTCGTGACTGTTCACGTAGAACCGAACGAAATTGTTCGGTTGGTGACTCTTCAGTTTCATCCTTCTATATCCGAAATTCCTTGGTGACTATTCATTATAAATATATATGACGAATTGAACATTTTTGAAAGTCTCTTGGTATTTTCATCTTTTCACGGCATTCTGCTGCACTCTCGTTCTTCATCGTTGTCATCTTTTGTGCGATTATTCTGCGAACTTGCGTTCGAAGATTTCCTTTGAAGTAGTACCGCTTCATAGGAAAGGCGATCCGTTCTATCCTGGGAGGCAATTGTTCAATGACCTTTGGGTACTGGTAGAGGGGACAAATTATCTTAAGGACACAACGTGAATTCGTTGGGCTCGGATCAATCGTCAAATTCGGATCACTCATTTCAGGTTTGTCAAACAACTTTACTTTATATGCACATACAAACACGTGTATAGTGAACAACAAATCTTTCTAGAAGTCGTCTCCAAAAGTAGGCATGAGCCCCGGTGTTGGCGAAAATAGAGACCATTGCTAGTACCGACACCACACATCGCGAATTACAGAAGAGAGAAAGATGGCATATATAGTTTGAATGTGGTCGACAGGTCTGCTTCAATGAGAGAATTAAGAAGTTTAAACAATCAAAGGAAACACCGGGAAGAGTTTGCCGTCGAGATTAGGAATGCCTTACAAGGTACTCAATGAGATTCTTTTCTTCTTGTACTATTGATCTATACTTGCTTCTTGCAAGTGGATTTTGTTAACCATTAAAAGAACATATATGAAATTGAAACTCAGTTGCATATCATCTTCTTTGTTGCAACCATGAAAAATCAGATTGAATGAAAGCTGGCCTAAGGTCTTCTTGACTCGCCAAGCTTCGCACGGGCTATTCCACGACCTCAATTGCTGGCCCGTGACATATGCGTGCGATTAACGGATGTTGTAATTGCAAGTGCTTCGTATTGAAACCACTCTCGATAAGCCCAATTCAAAGAGAATTTCTATACTCCTTTTCAGCAGTACCATTCTGTTCAGGAGTTTGTGGACAGCAGATTTGATCATGATTTTGCATATGATTCAGGAACATTTTACACATCGAAATACTTTTCTCTGAGTCTCAAACCATGATTCAATGAAGATGACACAATGCTTGAAATACACATGTGAAAAGGTTTGGAACCCCACAAACACAACGAAACTCGATCCGTGTGGCTTGTGACAAAAGTTCATCCGCATGAATGGAATTGCTATTCTCTCCATTATGCATGACTTATTTTTCATGTGAAATCAAATTGAGAGATTAATCGGCTAGAGGACCATAAAATTCTCTATGATGTCCAATACAATGCAAACTCTTTTTTTCATGCCCAAAAAATATGGATTTTTTTCTTTCGTGATGGCAAATTCTAGTGAATATCCATAATCGTCAAAAGACTATTGATAAAATAAAATGATTGATGACTAGATAGTGTAAGTTTTATATAACCATTCTTAACCGTTCTAAAAGTTTAAAATGTTAAACAAAGGTGTGGTTATTTTTGGGTTAGAAATAGCCTTTCTCGTTCATTTAGATAAAAAAGAAGGATAAATATCTAAAGCTTCATAGTAAAGAAAGTCCCAAAGGGCTTGAGGTGAGGAAAATTCTAAATAAGAGCATGAAGTATCCTCATTTTCTCAAATAAAGGCCTGAAGTAGATTATGTCTCAAATAAGGGTTTGAAGTGGCTATAACAATTTCAAATAAGAACCTAACCCCGTCGGCTCGTCGGCCGGCCAAATTTTCCAACCAATCAAGGGCATTTTCGTCCAAAAAAATAATTTTAACGTAAATTTTAGTTATATTATATTTTTTTGGTTGAATAGTTAAATTAGATTAAATTTTTTAAAAATAAACATTTTTTTTCAAAAAGAAAAAAACAAGCGGGAGGGGCTGCCGCCCCATTGTCGATGGGGTGGCGGCCATAGTGATTGTTTTTTCTTCTTCTTTTTTAACTTTAGCCTTTTTTTCTTTTTTGAATTTGTTTTTTTATGGAAAGAAAAAAATAGAAAAGAAAAAATCAAAAAAATTAAAAGACAAAAATGCCCTTGACCCCGGTAAGATCGGACCCTTTTTTGAAACTAATATGACCATTTCAGACTCTTATTTGAAACAAACTTCATGTCATGCCTTTATTTGAGAAAATGATGGCACTTC